TCTCTACAGTTGTGTCCCAAAAGGATTTAGGGGTTCTATTCTCGGAGGATCTGTCATGGTCTTCTCATTACAAGCAGTTAGCTGCTACAGCATATAAAACACTAGGTCTTCTACGGAGAACTTTTAGTTCTGCTGTTGATATACCTACTAGGAAGTTGCTATATACATCTTTAATTAGATCAAAGCTAACATATGCTTCTACTGTCTGGCGTCCTCATTTTTTAAAGGACATTTTATTTCTAGAAAGAATACAACGTCGAGCTACTAAGTTCATTTTAAACGATTACCATTCTGATTACAAAACTAGACTCATTAAATTAAATATGTTACCCCTCATGATGACATTTGAACTAGCTGATATTTCCTTTTTTCTAAATAATTTTCACTTCTCTGATTCACCTTCTAACTTTAATGCTTCAAATTATTTCTCTTTTTCGTCTACCTCTACTCGATCATCTACATTTCACAAGTTATCTTTTAATTTTACTTCTCATCACTCCTCACTTCACACTTTTTTCACCCTCTTCCCTCGTTTATGGAATTCTCTTCCACCTGTAAAAATCTCTCTTTCTAAAGAAACTATTAAATTACACGTAAAGAAAACTTTTTGGAATCACTTTATTGTTCATTTTGACCCTAATAATGTTTGTTCTTATCACTATGTATGTCCTTGCTTTTCTTGTGCCAATCTTCCTGTAAACTCTATGTATTCCTGATTTGTTTATGTTAGTAGTTATTTCATTTTATTTTTATTTTTATTATTTCCTTATTTACTATTCTTATTTTCTCTTTTTTTTTCTCTGTCTCTATCTGTTTAATCTTTTTTTTGTTTGGCGGTCAGCTCAGGAAGCTGGCTGTCCATCTGTATACATTTGTATACAGTAAAGTTATTTAAAGTTAAAGTTAAAGTTAAAAGTTAAAGTACAGGGATTTTTGCAGATTTTGGCCCATTTTTAAAAATGGCCATAACTTGAAAAGTTTAAGTTGGAATCAGCTTAAACTTTCTACATAGCATAAATACATCAATATGTATCAGAAAACGTAATAAAAACTGGGGGGGGGGGTGATTTTTTAGCCATTTTTCAGAAAAACTATGGGCTATAATAGTACAGGGATTTTTTCAGATTTTGGCCAATTTTTTAAAATCGCCATAACTTTAAAAAATTAAGTCAGAATCAGCTCAAACTTTCTACACAGCATAAATACATTAATATGCATGCAAATGAATAAATTAAAAAGCCATTTTTGGAAAAAATATAAAATTAAATAACAATAATAATAATACTAATGTTACATGATACATTACATGCCTACCTTCAGCTAATAGTACAGTTGCTTTATGTACTTCCATTGCAATATCCTTCAGTCCTTTGGGTCCATGATACACTGCATACATAGCTGATACATTAGCCAGCAAAGCTTGGGCAGTGCATATGTTACTGGTGGCCTTCTCTCTCCTTATGAACTGTTCTCTTGTCTGTAGTGCTAGTCTGTAGGTAGGGACACCATACTGATCCCTGGGGAGGAGGAGCAGTAATTAATGCAATACTGTTAATGCAATAAAGTTTTAACGACAATTAAAACAATTGACAAAAATATGATTTTTGGGGACCAAAAATCATATTTCGTCAAAGAAAAATGGCAGAACTTATGCAAAGTTTCTTTGAGCGTTCATATTGGCATTCAGAATGGAGAGAAAGTCCTGCTAAGTGAAGATGTCAAATAAAGGCCAGAGAAGAGCTCAGAAAGATATGGACTCCAGCAAACACAGCTACATGGTCAAACTCACCCGTCAAAAAGACACTAGCCTTTCACGAATGACAAACTTGATGAAGAAAAATGCAGTTAAGTGCTTACCTTTTAGTTTGGTGGAGATACCAGAGCTCCAGAAGCAAGAATCAGAGCATAAACTGTTGCTATATTACAAGATATAAACCCGCAGCCATTTTTTGTTTATAAACTTTCCATGTACTAAAGCCATGCAGCTCTTCTGTAAACTGCGCCAGTATCCCTTTAATTAATACCGTAATCAAAAATAATTATTAAAATATTGGTAAATAAACAATTGAAATTTAATAAACAACAAGTCGGCTATTACCAAAATCACAAACATACAAGAATCCATCTTTATCAACTGCTAATCCATAAGGATTATTAAACTGATCAATATTACTGCCTTTACTTCCAAACTTCCTAACAAACACACCATCACTAGTGAAGACTGATATACGATTATTGTCCAATTCACTAACATACACTAGACCAGTAGCTGCAGTGTCTATTGCTATACCTGTTGGATACTTAAGCTGTCCAGAGCCTAATTTTTTATTGCCAAACTGACCCACGAACTTTCCACCTGGAAAAAACTTCTGAATGCGATGATTATCACTATCAGCAACATACACTAATCCTTGACTGTCGATAGCAATGTCACATGGAGACTGAAACTGTCCATTAGCTGATCCTTCACTACCAAATGAATGAGAGAAGGTTAGATCAGGATTCAAGACTTGTATACGATCATTACCCCAATCAGCAATATAAACCTGCCCTGTTATAGGAGAAATGGCTATACCTTTAGTATCATTGAATCGTAGTGTTCCACTGCCCTCCTCACCAACTGATGCTTTACAGTATCCATCCATGCTTATCTTCTGGATCCTGTGACTATCAGACACAAGAATGAATTTGCCTGGAGTAATGGCTACACCACGAGGAACAGAAAACTTGACGTTACCACTTCCTCCTTTCCCTCCTAATGATTTCCCTTTCTTTCCTTCTCTATCCAGTATTGTTACACAGTTGCCATAAGACTCAGCTATTATAACATGATTATCATCACTTACAGCAACTCCCCAGGGATCCTTAAGCTCTATAGTACATACTGGAGTGATGCTACCAAGGTAAGGATTGATAGGGATGACTAGTGAGGTATCTTTAAGGTGTACATCATATACTTGTACTTTTACTGTATGAGTACCACTGGTTGAAGGCTTACACTGTATCCTATACACTCCAGGATCAGTGCTGGTGGTAGTGACTGTAGTGTCAATGGGTTCATCACCTTTATCAACTGGTACTAGACTACACTTCAGAGAAGAGATGGGAACACACAAAACAGATGAATTTGGCGCCTCCATTGATAGTGAAAATGAAACTTTATTCTCTTTTGGTAGACGTTCAAAGTAGCCAACTTTCTTCACTCTACACTGCTGTAGTGCAGTAGATGAGTAGGTCACAATATCTCCAATGTGATGTAGTGATTTGATATCTTTATTCAATACAAAGTCGGCTTTTTCCTTTGGACGTAACTCTTTCACATTGATTCCTGCAGTAACTTTACTCATATGCTCCATCATCTGTTTCTTACACCTCAGGACTTGTTGAGGACTGCCTGTCTTCAGACTCTGTTCCACATAATCCTCAAAATCCTCCAGAACATTCAAACTCATTTCAGCTGATTTCATTTGCTCTGACAGCACCTTTAGTTTATCATCAGTGACCCTCTTTGCCTGCTCAGTCAGTTTCCTCTCTGACTCACGAAGAACATTCATCATTTCCTCTACCATTTCATGTATTTCTTCTAAGACTCCTTCTCCTCTCTCTCTGATCTCACCCTCTCTCTTTGCTAAAGCAGACAGGACCTTCTTGAGTGCTTCCTTCTTTCCCTCAACTGGTAATAGACATTCTCTTAACTTTTGACAGTGTTTAGTATAACTGTCAGTGATTAAGTCATATTCATGATGTTTGTGATCACGACATTGACAGGTAACACAGATTACTGTATTACATGCTTCACAGAATAGCTCCAAAGGCTTTCCATGATCACTACATGTGCCAGCCTCTTGAGGATTAGGCAAAACTGCTGCTGTCTTCTTCATTGTATTGTATATCTCTTTGAGGTTGTTGAGAGTGAATGCTACAGGAAAGGCTCCTGCTCCTTCTTTTGGCAACTCTGCACAATGACGACAAGTGGGACAAGAGAGATAATAGGTCTCATTCTTCTTATCCAGAGGTAATCCTTCCAGACAGTGCTCACAAAATGAATGTAGACAAGGTAAAGTCTTAGGGTTGGTATAGTGGTCAAGACACACAGGACAGGTGAACTGTTCCTCCAGTTTGAGGAGACCAGGAGAAGAAGATGAAGATGGTTTGGTTGCCATTTCAAGAAAAGAATAAAATTGTGTACGTAAAGCAAGAATGAAAAATGAAGAGAGATAAAGGTAGAAGACTGTAAATGAAAATAGAGCAAGAACAAACGATAAGAAAATGAAGAAGTTGGAATGAATGAGAGTAGCCTGGGGAAAGATAGCCCTGATGACCTCTTGGAATATTCTGTAGTCTCATGACTACAGGAAGTTATGATAGTACATTCATTGATTACTTAAATGTACTCCATATTCTTGTGGCAAAGTACATGTAGATGTTAAGGGTTTTGCCCCTCACCAAACCTTAATGTACATGTACATGTACGTGTACATGTACATGTACATATGTGCATCAATGTATGAGTTTCATCCACATCCTAGTTTCTTTAATATGACATACTATAGTAATTGACAAATTTTGTTTGAGAAACTTAATTGGTAAATTTTATGCCAATAATAATAATTCCCTGTCAATATACATGTATCATCTTGTACGGTATTATGCATTGGCTTGATCTTGTACGGCTTCGTGTACATGTACTTGAAATAAAAAACCCTTACGTCAACTATAATCATCACTATCATTAATATACATTATATCATCATCATCATCATCATTAAACTCTTACCAGCTCTTCCCCACTAGTCTTCCAGGCATTTGTTTCTTTAGTTCGTCTTTAACAGCAAAGAATGCAGCATGAGGACCACCACAACCTTTAGAATACAATGATACAGTCACATGAGAGTCACGTGATCAATGTTACTATTTTTAGCATCACTTTTAGCAATATAACAACTATCCATCGATCATACTTTCAATAGCAAAGGCTACTAAATATTAATAATTATTATTAATTTTATGTTTAAGGCTCAGTCTTGTACTATGATCTAGCATTTATTAATTCATTTTTAAATCAAAAACAAAGTTCTGATACTTTTAAAAACCTGCTCCTCTTAATGCATTAAAAACAGTAACATTTAGTACATGTACATAGTCACATGACAATAAAGTCACATGACTATAAAGCAGTGTATATTACAGCTACATTGTCTTACCCATTGGTACCCCGAACCTCTGACTGTTACCAAAGGCAATACTGGCACCTAATTCACCAGGAGACTTGAGGATAGTGAGGGCTAGGAGATCAGTAGCCATTGCAACCGGGATCTACATGAACATGAAATAGACAATAATAATGAACTACATGTACAGTGTACATAATAATGTATAATAACAAGGTACTGTATAGCGGGAAATTTTAGAGGGACTAAAATTTAGAAAATTGCTAAATTTTGGTATTGGCAAATTTTAATTTGGTGAATTTGTGGCCACGTGCCATTGAGCATGTGTATAATGGCTCAAAAAGGCAGATTTCATGCAAATGGCTATTAAAACGCCAAATTTAATTCCCTCCAAAATTTTACGCTATACGGCATTTGTTAGGAAAAGGTATGTTCTTTTAGATGGTCAAAAAGAAGTATCTTCAAGATCTTTGGCAGGTTGTAGAGTGAGGGAGTGCTCACTAGTACAGTGTAATTTCATTAATGAATTTATTATTTCTATTAGAGCAGGGCAATTGCAGTGAATTGCCCATTCAAAAATTGTTAAGCTTAAATATATTTCCATCCAACTTTATGATCACATTCAGCACCTTGATCTCTTTATAAATGCATAAAACGTTACAAGGCTATCGTGGGTCGGACTATAATGATATTCATTACTTGTTACTGAGGCTTGTAACATGTTGTTGGAATCTACTCAAATTATTAATTAATAATATATATTATCTACAACTACATGTATACGTGATTATATTAACAAGTAATAGGGTTCTCGTAATATGAAGCAACTTTTAAATGAAAGATCCTTTTTTGATTAGAATCAGCTCAAACTTTTCACGCAACATAAAAACATGTGTATCAGGAAAAATTATTAAAATGGAGAATTCTCTCCTTTTCATTTTTGGTGAAATTTAGCCAAGACCCCTATACTATATTGGTCCGACTTTTGAGCAACTTTAAAATTCATAAAAAATTCAACTATAATCGGAATCAGCTCAAAATGTACATGCATTTGTCAGAAAAAGGTATGTTCTTTTAGATGGTCAAAAAGAAGCATCTTCAAGATCGTTGACAGGTTGTGGAGTGAGGGAGTGCTCACTAGTACAGTATAATTTCATTAATGAATTTATTATTTTATTAGAGCAGCGCAATTGCAGTGAATTGCCCATTCAAAAATTGTTAAGCCCACATATATTTCTGTTCAACATTATGCACCTTGGTCTCTTTATAAATGCATAAAACGTTACAAGGCTATCGTGGGTCGGACTATAATGATATTCATTACTTGTTACTGAGGCTTGTAACATGGTGTTGGAATCTACTCAATACGTATAAGTGCATGTACATATACATGTTGATAATAATCATGTAAAAATTTGGCTGCAGACCCTATACTGTAGTACAGGGACTTTGATCCAATTTTTGAGCAACTTTAAAATTTAATTTTGATCGAAATTGCCTCAAACTTTCTATGCAACATAAGAACATGTATATGTACTAGGAAAAATTAATTATAAAAATAGAAAATTCTCTCCTTTTCAATTTTAAATTATGGCAAAATTTGGCCCAATTAAGATGATAGTATACCATATAGCGGGATTTATTGGCAAAGGTTTTATCCTGACGAATCGACAATTTAAAATAAAACGTCAAATTTTATAACCGTCAAAATTTTTGTACTTTGTGCCGTGTGTACACGAAGGGCACTATTCATCAAATTAAAACTCGCCAACCGGGGAAATTTATTGTTTTCGTCAAATTTTTTAGACGTCAATAAATCCTACTATAATAGTAGTCTATACATTGTACTCCTTACCTTTAATCCTTTAGCTTGCTGTATGATGTCATGATAATTATTAATGATACCATCATTATTAGGATACTGGAGCATCACTCCACACACATCATCAGTTAAAACAAAGTCCTGATACGAACCAGTCACTATGTCGATATTTAAGAACTTTGCTCTCGTTTTGATGACCGCAAGCGAGTTTGAGTGGATCCCCTCATCAATGAAGTACTTGTTTCTAGTGGGAGGAGAATACAGAGCTGGTCACATGATATTCACATGACAGAAAAGAGTACATGTACATGTACATGTACAAAAATGTTAAGTATAAAAAGAAATTTGAAGCATAAAAATTAGCAATTTCATAGACAAATCTACCAAAATAAAACTAAAAATAGTTTACCGTATAGTGGAAAATTTTCGTGGCCCAAAATTTTTGTGGATTTCGCATTTTTTTTCAAAACCCACGAAAATAAAATCCGCGAAAATCGATTTTATACGGTTTAAGATGGCCGAATTGTAGAAAACCACGAAAATTAAAGCCACGAAATTGATTTTTGGATGGATCCACGAAAATTTTGGGCCACGAAAATTTTCCGCTATACGGTATTATGATGCTTTGCTAAAACTGGCCACTTATAAAATTACCAGCTAAATGCAATATATTAGTCAACATTATCTCTTTCTTTGTCCCCCTTCCCCTCCCTCCCTCTCTCTCCCCCTCCTAACCTTTTTCCTCTAAACATTCTATAAGAGAGTGTCACAGCTTCAGCTGCTGCAGTTCCTTCGTCAAGAAGAGAAGCATTAGCAATATCCAGTCCAGTTAGGTCGACTATCATTGTCTGGTAGTTCATGAGAGATTCCAGTCTACCCTGAGCCAGCTCGGCTTGATAGGGAGTATACTGTGTTATCCTATGAATAAATAATAATAATAATAATAATAACAATAACATGTGTATATTATTAATGTCGATTATTGTAGGTTTTTTTTGTAAAAATAAACACAGTCCAGCACCATTAAATTTAATTACATGTGCAACATACATTATGTACTACATGTACATGTACATGTATGTCCCGACTGAGTTTGACCCAAGAAAAACTGGAATAACTTCTTATAGGAATGTGTGATAAGGATGAGACTTTCACAGGTTCTTAGTCGCCCAATGCCATCACAGGATCTCAGGTCTTGGGTCTCTCAGCCCTTGGGAACTCTGAGAACCAGGTTCTCCCTATAAACCCAATGGTGTGGTCGTGCCCAATTGGCCAAACTGATAATTCTTCTTTTAAAAAGCTAACAGAGCAAATCTTTTGATAATGATCTATGGCCTTTGTGAAGACTTAGTTGACTCCAGCAGCTATTGTACTGCTTATCAGAGCAAAAACCCATTTAAGAGTGAAATACAGGCCAACCAACCACACAGCTGTAAAACATTGCATGTTTCTTAACATCTTCTAATTTCTATAGTAATAATAATAATAGTAGTTCTCACCAGCCTGGGTTCTCTATTACGTTTCTTTTGATAACAGGAGGTACTATACATCCGTAGTACCCCTGACCAAGATAAGACCGATACACCTTGTTCATGTCAGCCAGTTCTTGGACACGATTAGCTAATTCATTCTCAGCTAGAGAGAGAGAGAGAGAGAGAGAAGAAGGGGAGGGAGGGAGGGAGGGAGGGAGGAAGGGAGGGAGGGAGGGAGGAAGGGAGGGAGAGAGAGAGAGAGAGAGAGGGAGAGACAGAGAGAGAGAAGCAGTAATAGTGTTTAGTGCAACAGTGTAACCTAATATCGGATTAGGTGACAGCATTTAAAATGACAGAAGCCAGTAATGGCTAAGGATTAATCCTTTGATACTATAATCTAATACAATGGAAGAACTACCGTGTAGGACTATTATCAAATTAATGACATACTTGAGTATAATCATGTACCCATGTATGTACAATAGAGAAGATGAAAGGAAAAATACAGTATAGAAATCAATGCATAGATGTACACGTACACGTACATGTACATGTACAGTACATACACTTTCAATAGAGAATATAGAGAGGGAGAGAGAGAGGAGGAGAAAGAAAAGAGAGAGAGAGGGAGGGTGAGAGAAGGAGGGTGGAGAGAGAGAGGGGGAGAAGGAGAGAGAAGAGTAAGGTTTAGAGAAGAAAGGAACAAAAGCAAAAAGTGGAGGAAATGAGATTTA